CAAAATAGACAAACCTTTATCCAAACTAACCAAAAGGCAGAAAGAGAATATCCAAATTAACAAAATCAGAAATGAAAAAGGGGACATAGCAACAGGCACGGAAATCCAGAGAATCATCAGGTCATATTTCAAAAACCTGTACTCCACAAAATTGGAAAACTTAAAGGAAAGGACAACTTTCTGGATAAATATCACTTACCAAAATTAAATCAAGACTTAGATAAGCAAATTAAACAGACCTATAACTGGCTGAAGAAATAGAAACAGTCATCAAAAGTCTCCCAACCAAAAAAAAAAAAAAAAAAAAAAAGCCCAGGACCAGATAAATGGTTTCAGCTCAGAATTCTACAAGACTTTCAAAGAACTAATACTAATACTCCTCAAATTATTCCATATAATAGAAACAGAAAGAACATTGCCAAACTCCTTTTTTTGAGGCTACAATCACCCTGACACCCAAACCACAGAAAGACATTACTAAGAAAGAGAATTACAGACCAATCTCACTCATGAACATTGATGCAAAAATAATAAATAAAATACTGGCAAATTGAGTCCAAGAAGACATCAGAACCATCATGATCCATCATGATCAAGTCAGCTTCATCCCAGAGATGCAGGGATGGTTCAACATATGAAAATCTGTCAACATAATCCACCATATAAACAAACTGAAAAATAAAAACCACATGATCATCTCATTAGATGCCGAAAAAGCTTTCAACAAAATACAACATCCCTTCATGATAAAGGTCTTGGAGAGAGCAGGAATACTAGGAACATACCTAAACATAATAAAAGCAATATATAGCAAGCCAACATCAAACTAAATGGAGAGAAACTCCCAGCGATTCACTGAAATCAGGAACAAGACAAGGTTGTCCACTCGCTATATCTATTCAATATAGTTCTTGAGGTCTTAGCTAGAGCAGTAAGACACCAAGGAGATCAAGTGGATACAAATTGGAAAAGAAGTCAAACTCTCACTGTTAGCTGATGATATGAGAGTTTACATAAGCGACCCCAAAAATTCTACCAAGGAACTTCTACAACTCATAAACACTTTCAGCAATGTAGTAGGATACAAGATTAACTCAAAAACATCAGTAGCCCTCTTGTACACAGATGATAAAAGGGCTGGGAGAAGAACTCAGAGAACCAACACCCCTCACAATAGCCACAAATAGCATACAATATCTCGGAGTAACTCTAACCAAATAAGTGGAAGACTTGTATGACAAGAACATTAAATGTTTGAAGAAAGAAATTGAAGGAGACACCAGAAAGTGGAAAGATCTCCCATGCTCTTGGGTAGGTAGAATTAATATAGTAAAAATGGCAATCTTACCAAAAGCAAACTACAGATTCAATGCTATGCTCATCAAAATTCTTCAAGGACATGGAAAGAACAGTATTCAACTTCATATAGAAAAGCCAAAAACCCAGGATAGCCAAAACAATCCTGTACAATAAAAGAACTTCTGAAGGCATCACAATCCCTGACTTCAAACTCTACTATGGAGCTACAGTACTGAAAGCAGCCTGGTATTGGCATAAGAACAGACAGGAGGACCAATGGAACTGAATAGAAGACCCAGATATCAATCCACATACCTTTGAACACCTGATTTTTGACAAAGAAGCAAAAAAACATCAAATGGAAAAAAGAAAGCATATTTAACAAGTGGTGCTTGCATAACTGGATATTAACATCTAGAAGAATGAAAATAGACCCATATCTATCACCATGTACAAAACTCAAATCCAAATGGACCTTAGACCTCAACATAAAGCCAGCCACACTGAACCTTATAGAAGAGAAAGTGGGAAATACACTTGAACGCATTGGCACTGGAGACTATCTCCTAAATATAACCCCAGAAGCACAGACACTGAGAGAAACAATAAATGGGACCTCCTGAAACTGAAAAGCTTCTGTAAGCAAAGGACAATAAGACAAAACAACAGCCTAGAGAATAGGGAAAAATCTTCACTAACCTCACATCAGAGGTCTGATCTCCAAAATATACAAAGAACTCAAGAAATTGGTCATCAAAAGAACACATAATCCAATAAAAAATGGACTACAGACCTAAACAGAGAACTCTCGACAGAGGAATCTAAAATGGCTGAAGGACACTTAAGGAAACGTTCAACATCCCTCGTCATCAGAGAAATACAAATCAAAACAACTCTGAGATTCCACCTTATACCTGTAAGAATGGCCAAGATCAAAAACACCAATGACAACTTATGCTGAAGAGGTTGTGTGGAAAAGGGAACACTTCTGCATTGCTGGTGGGAATGCAAGCTGGTACAACCCCTTTGGATGTCCGTGTGGCAATTTCTCAGAAAATTAGTAAACAACCTTCCTCAAGATCCAGTAATACCACTTTTGGGTATATATCCAAAGGATGCTCAATCAAGCCACAAGGACATGTACTCAACTATGTTCATAACAGCTTTGTTTGTCATAGCCAGAACCTGGAAACAGCCTAAATGCCCCTCGACTGAAGAATGGGTAAGGAAAATGTGGTACATTTGCACAATGGAGTACTACACAACAGAAAAAAATAACAACATCTTGAATTTTGCAGGCAAACGTATTGAGCTAGAAAGCATTATTGAGTGAGGTAACCCAACACAGAAAGACAAGTTATCACATGTATTCACTCATAGGTGGTTTTTAAACATAAAGCAAAGCCAGCCTACAAAACCCAGTCCCACAGAGAATTTAGACAACCATGAGGACACTAAGAGAGACTTACATAGACTTATTCTACATGGGAAGTAGGAAGTAGATAAAGACAAGATCTCCTGAGTAAATTGGGAGCATGGGGACCTTGGGGGAGGATTGAAGGGTGAGGGGAGAGGCAGGGAGAGTAGGAGAGAAAAATGTAGAGCTCAATAAAAATCATTTAAAAAGGGGGGAAAAACAAAAGAATTGTTCGTGCTTGTGAGAGTGGCTTTTTAATTTCTTCACATGCTTAAAAAATGTATTTACTCACCTAAAAAACCCAAAAATGTGAAGGGTATAATAAAATGATGTTGTAAAAATGAAAAAAGTTAAACATTTCTGTCAAAAAATATTAAATGGGTCAATGCAGCTGATGAACTTTCCATGAAAGAGAGTTACAAACGAAACAGCCTACTACATAAAGTCTATGATTATAAAAAACATGACAAAGATTAATGAGCCAACACAGTAATCAACATTAAACAAAGGAGGCGGGAAAGCAAGAAGCACCATCTCAAACATCTCTTGTCACCATTACAAATGCACAAACGAACAAGGATTCCAGGCAAAGGAAGACAAATTTGGTCACAAATGAAAACATTATTGTTTCCTATACTAGGTACTGAAGGAAATTATTTTTTAATCTCATTTCATTGTAATCTTTGTATCAATAGATCCTTGAAATAGTTTCAAAATGCAAGTCAATTCCTTTTGCTAATTCTTTCCAGAAAGATGGGGCTAAATTACAGTAGGAAGATGTCTCATAGAAATATGTGTTAAGCGGCTGAGGGATTCACTGAGACTAATAGCCTAGGAAGAGGGAGAGATTTAATGGAAGCTTAAGCCCTTTTCACTACTGCAAAGGTACGTTGGGTTAGATACAGCACGTATTGACAGCAATAGGATGGAAGTACACAGCAGCACAGAAGCATGGAATGCTTTAGAGGGAAGAGGAGCTATTTGGCAGAAGTTTGTCTTGTTGCCATTTATCTGATGAGACGTGTAGACTCTTCATTTCAATCACCAATGACTCTGTATAAACCATGGCCTATATATCTTAATATTTTGCTTTTGAAGTAGGTTTCTCTTCTAAGAAATTCACTAAAAAGAAAAGTATTAAGTCCCTCTGTTCTTGTTCAAAGCAATCTATTCCCATCACAGGAGGAACCTTTTGAGTAAGCACAGTATTTTGAAAATTAATTCTGAAATTAACACTGGCAGTATAGAATGATGGGAAGAGGGCAAATTTTGTTATTACTTTTTTTTTTTGGCTTTCCAAGACAGGGTTTCTCTGTCTAACAGCCCTGGGTGTCTTGAAACTCGCTTTGTAGACCTGGCTGGCCTTGAACTCACATAGATCTGCCTTCTCCAGAGTGCTGGGTATGTCACCACCACCTGGTAAGGGCAGATTTTGGATTTAAAGATTTTAATTTTTAAGTCAAAAGAGAACACCAGATCATTCTCAGAGGTATGAGTATGTACTTACCGTATCCCATTGAAAAAACTCCTGTGCTTCCATTTCTTTACCTGTAAAACTGAGGTACTGCCACCTACCTTAACAAGGTTGTCCACGGAAACGAAGTGACTGAGTATTTACAGTATATATTCAGTTTCCTTTTTTCTATTGTCTGTTGTTTTGAACTGAACTCCTATACTTTCTCTTCCTTCAGACTCCAATAATATAAGGAAAGAATGCAAAGATTCTGGAAGGGCTGCTGCTCTTATATATACAGTGTTTTTGCCACAGTGCAGGCAACACTACAACTATGCTTTATAGACCTCTGCTTTGCTCCCAGTTTTGTACAGGGATTACATCTTGACATCTACAGTCCTGGTCATATACTATATTCTCACTAGTAAATCTTCTTACAAAGTCAACAGCTACTCACAGATTGAGAACATGCCAGTGGATTTGTCAGACTGTCAGGAAACAAAGGATGCATTTGCTATATCACCAATTCCTGTAGAGCTAGGCTCTGAATATCCCCTATGGAAAGTCTGGACCAATAGAAGTTTTGTTGACCATTGAAACATTCTACATCTGCAATGTCCAGTCTGGTCTTCATTAGCACTTGTGGCTACTAAGTACTTGGCTACTGAACACTTGAAATGCAATTATCGTTCCCGGAAATAAGACCGTTAGTCGTTACTTAATTTAAACTTGATTATAATTAACTTAATCTTTAAATTGCCAATGGTGGTTAGTGCAGATATAGAACATTTCCATGTTCAGTATACATACAACAGATATTTAATATTTAACCTTGTCCTCTTTCCATGGGCACTGGTCCACCTCCTTGCATTCCCACTTGGGCTTGCATGACTCCTAGAAAATAAAGGGCAAGGAAAAACATATTTGGTCTGTAGAAAAAAACAATAGTGGCTTAGTTTACAAATGTCATCATTTTTTCCCACAAAGGAGAAGCATATGATGGAAGATGACAACTATCATCCATCCATGCAGAGAAACAGAAGATGAAATCTATCAGGACATACTTCAGTGACAAATGAGCTCAGAAGGAATATTTCATCTCAATTACCAAAATTGTGGCAGAAAGCCCTTTAATGGAGAAAAACAATGCCTATTACTCACAAGCCTCCTCTCATGGGAGGCAGTATCACTCTTAGGGTATTTTATAAATGTGTGGCTATATTATTTAGTTCTGACAAAGCTCTTTAGGGGCATGGTTAACCCTGAAGGAGATGGTACCAGAGATACTAGGTGGCTTACAAAGTATGAGGAAATCGAAAACCTTTCAAATGACTCACTGAACATTCATACAAAGGAAAAGCTATCTGTTGCCATCTTAACCTAGAATCTGAATCTGTTTTATTTGTAAACATAAGTTATATGTACTGTTTTAGTATATATACACTGACTTTTCTAGAAATGCAATTTCTTAGTAAATTATGGAGACTGCAATTAATAGCATGATACCTCACTATTTAGGAAAACCACATCAATAGTCCTTGTGGTATTTGAATTACCAAAACAAACATTACTATAACAAAGAGTAATCAATGCACCACAAATCCTTGTCTGATCCCTTCCACATAGCAATAACTCTTTTCCTCAAAGGAGCAAGAAATGCTCTTGAGTGGGGACAAAAGGAAAGCTGATTTGTTTGCAGTTAATACTTCCTTAAAATAGAAAGTATACATCACACTGTCCCTATTTCATTGAACTTGCTAAGCACTAAAAAATTTAGGGATTAAGTACCCAGAGAACTGGGTGCTAGTCTAGCTCTTGCTACTAAGTAACTGGGATTCTGAACAAGTGCCTCAATAAAATTACTACATTCCTGACTTCCTCATCTGTAAAATGAACAGGTTGTTCCAAATGGCAGTCCTCAGAAGGTGGCCCCCAGCTAGACAAGCCACATCACTACCAACAAGAAAAAATGCAAACACTGAAAATTCTCAGGTTTTGCATCTCAGATTTATTAAATTATAGTTGGCAGAAGGGACCATCAACCTGCATTTTATAGGCCCTTCAGGTGATTCTAACACACAGTAAAGTTTGAAAACACTGATCTAAAATGATTTGAAAGCTTCCTTCCAGTCACAACGTTCCATTCCATTGAATTCAGACCAATTACCAACACAACGCAATGGTTTAGAATATGAGGAAAAGATAGCAGAAGGCATTATGAGCATAATTTCCCACATTAAAAAAAATCATATGTAACACCTTAATTTGTACAGGCTAACTTCCCAATGGTGTAACTGGTGGTCAGATTGTAGGAATCTTTCATGTTATACTACTTGCTTGAAAGGTTGAAAACCTTCCTATTTCTATCAATGATGTATGAGTACAAATTGCTTTACAAATATTGTCCTCTTCTTTGAAAGTTGGCACTGATGAGTGTTTAGTGGCATTTTATTTTTATGTTATTTGTAACCCCAAACCATAAAGGAGGCTGTTTTTGTTGGCCATCTGGCTTTGCTCTTTTACAAAGCTCTTAAACAGTTTCTTCCTGCACTTTTCTATAAGTTGTTTTTTTTCTTCTTAGTAATTTTCAAGCTCTGTAGGATAGCCAAAAATATTCCCAAGACATTTTAATGAATTCATAAATATATATACTATAAATTCAACATCCCTTGAAAGTTAATTATTTTAGTTTTATGGATACACTCAGTTTTGCTTTTAGGTTCTTTTTTGGGGGGTGTTTTTATTGTTAAGAATTTTTTTGTGCCTGGTGCTAGGGACTGAACATGAGACTTTGGAAATGGTAGACAAGTGCTTTACCACTAACCTACATCCCCATCTTCATTCATTTCCTCTTCTTGATGTCTTGTAGTTCATCATTTTTCTAATTAATTAGTAGCAGTATGGAATTTACTTTATTGGTTAGTAACATGGGTATTTAGAATATTCATTTTCCTTTAGACACCACCTTTACTATTTCTCATACATATTTGTATGAAATATAACATATATTACTTTTTGTTTTAATTCATACTATTTATGATTTATTTCCTCTTTAAATAGCTATAGTATGTTTCTTAATTTTCCAAGTCAAAACTTCCCACTCACCTTTTAATTATTTCTAATTTTATTGGTTTAAAACCAAACTATGATCTGTAAAAATCTCTACTGCCTCAAATTTGTTAAATTGTATTTATGGCTAAGTACTTGGTCTTTTTTAAAGGGTTCAATGATCATTTGGAGTAGGGCAGTATACACTGCAGCCAAGAGATGCAAGGCTATCTCTAAATATTAAATGGAGCTTGCTGATCCCATTAATTACCTATTGAATATGCACAGCCATTTTTTATCCAATAGGACAAGGTTACTCAACCTGTCTAGAAAAGGTACTGATATAGCCTATGCTAACATTTCATGACAAGGTAAGTACAGAAATGGAGAGCAGATAGAAATCTCTATGAATTTGACACTATTGTGACATCCAAGTGTGTGGTCAGCACACGTGTCTCACTTAAGATTTCATTTAGCTGGTGGTGACATATGCCTCTAATCCCAGTACTTGCGCATCTGAATTAGAGGGATTGCCAAGTTTGATGCCAGCTCCAGCTACACAGCAAGACCTTTTCTTCCAAATAATACAAAACAAAGTCTTCAACCTAGAACACGTTATAATTACACATATATTTTATGTATTTTATATCAAGATCCTATTATTAAATAGGTAAGTGCACTTCAGCAGTTGCTATTATAAATCCTCAGCAAAGAAATAAAATAGTAAAGACTCTAACTGAAAGTTACCTGCAGGGGCTAAAGAACCAGGGCCAGGTCCTGCTACAGCAGCAGCCATTTGCACTGGGGCAGGTACTCCACCTGGCATAGAAGCTTGCATCAGAGTTGCACCATTGACATGCATTCCGCCCTGACCAAGAGAAAAACAAGTGTGAGCAAGTCTCTGCAGCCTCAGCATTAGGTTTATCACATACTCTGAATTCCAAAGAAGCAAACTGAAGTACATGGCTTGAGCCTGGTTATGTGAATGCAGTTAAAATGAAGCATATGCCTACTATAGAGGCTAGTGTAGTCTTATCCATGTGGCAAGGCAGCAAATAACAACCCATCCTTGACATCACTGACTGGTGCCTAAAACTAAGTTGAAAATAGATGCCCTTCAATTGAAGAATGGATGAAGAAAGTATGGAATATATACATATTAGAGTACTACTCAGCAGTAAAAAACAAGGACTTCTTGAAGTTTGCAGGCAAATAGATGGAAATAGAAAACACCACCCTGAGTGAGGTAAGCCAGACCCAAAAAGAGGAACATGGGATGTTCTCACTCATATTTGGTTTCTAGCCATAAATAAAGGACATTGAGCCTACAATT